ATTTATTTTTTATAACATTGATAAGAAAAGAAAAATTTTTTTATATAAAAATAAAATATTATATTAATTTATTAATTTATTAATTAATATTAATAAAATTAATTATAATCATTTTTAATATTTTTTCATTTGTAATAAAATGTTATCAATAGGGTAATGTGTCATCACAAAGTATTGTAGAAACACTTTCTAATAATCTAAGAAGACTTAATACTGAAGAAATACTTCCTGGTGCTACCAATTTTTTATCAAGTAATTATGAGGTATATTTTTCTTATAATTATATATTTTGTTTATCTTATAATGTTCTTATTGATATATAATTATATTTATCTTTATATTTGGAGAACTTTCTATATTAATCATTGTGAATATTTTATCTTAAAATTAATTATGCATTAAAAAAATATTTTGTATAATATATCATTATATTTTTATTTATTTTTTTAGAGTTTAGATTATGATCCCTGTGAGAATCATCTTCTTCAAGATGAAGAAAGAAAAAAAGGTTACAAGTTTGTAGTTAAAAAGAATTTTGCTAGATGGTTTATTTTTTTATTAATAGGTATTTGTACAGCGCTTATTGCTAGTTTTGTAAATATTTCTATAGAAGAATTAACAAAGCTAAAGTATGGTTGTTTGAAATTTTGTATCCTTTACTTCTATTATAAACAAATAACAAATGAAAGAAAAAGAAATATAATTTCAATACTCCTTACAATGAATGATAGATATGGATCAATGTGTAGCAAGAAATTGTTTATGGTTACCATATTTATTATGGTTAGCTTTAAATTTTGCACCTGTTTTAATAGGTGCAATTTTAGTATCTTATGTGGAACCTGTTGCAGCAGGTAGTGGTATTCCTCAGGTGAAATGTTATTTAAATGGAATTAAAATACCTCGAGTTGTGCGTATTAAAACATTAGCAGTAAAAACTATAGGAGTAATTTGTACAGTAGTAGGAGGTTTAGCTGGTGGAAAAGTAAATATGTTTCATTATTATTTTTATATTATTTTTTATTTTTTTCTTTTAAATAAAAAAAAATTTCAATATAAAATAAAATATCATTTTAGGAAGGACCTATGATACATTCTGGAGCTGTGATAGCAGCAGGAATATCACAAGGAAAAAGTACTACATTTAACAAAGATTTAAAGATATTCAAATATTTCAGAGAAGATCATGAAAAACGAGATTTTGTATCTGGAGGTGCAGCTTCTGGTGTATCTGCTGCATTTGGTGCACCAATTGGTAATAAATTACTGATATAGTACATATGTAGTATAAATATTAATTATTTAATAAATAATAATTTAGGAGGAGTACTATTTAGTATCGAAGAAGGAACTAGTTTTTTTAATCAAAGTCTCACTTGGAGAACATTTTTTGCTAGTATGATCACAACATTTACATTAAACATTATTCTTAGCACATATCACAGACGACCCGGTGACCTTTCTTATCCAGGCTTACTAAATCTTGGAAAATTTGAGACAATACCCTATCAGATTTACGAAATTCCGCTGTTCATGTTAATGGGAACAATTGGTGGACTTTTGGGTGCTTGTTGGAATCATCTAAATTATAAAATTACCTGTTTCCGTTTGAAATACATAAAAAAAAAATGGTTGAAAGTAATAGAAGCTCTCATAGTTGCTGCATTAAGTGCAACAATAGGATTTATCATGATTTATTGTCTGAAAGATTGTAAACCATTAGGACAGGATCCCACTAAATTTCCCATTCAAATGTATTGCAATGATGGAGAATATAGTGCTGTTGCAGCTTTATGGTTTCAGACACCAGAAAGTAGTGTACGATCTTTATTTCATGATCCTAAAGGTATGTTAATAATATAAAAAAAACATAGAATATATTCATTAAATTTTTTGTTTATAGGTTCTCACAATGATATCACTTTAGCTATTTTTGTTGTTCTCTATTTTCTTCTGGCTGTTGCTACTTTTGGTCTGTCCATGTCTAGTGGTTTGTTCATTCCATCTCTATTAATTGGTGCTGCTTGGGGTAGATTAATTGGATCAGGACTTTCAAGACTTTTTCCAAATTGCGTATGAAACAATCATAAAAATAAAAAACATAGAATATATTAAATATTGTAGAAAAAATAACAATTATTGTTAATTATTGCAGGTTGTTTTAAATCCTGGAAAGTATGCTTTATTAGGTGCAGCTGCTCAATTAGGAGGAGTAGTTAGAATGACTATAAGTTTAACCGCGATATTAATAGAAGCTACTCAAGGAATATCTTTTGGCTTACCACTTATAATAGTTCTTATAATGGCTAAATGGATTGGAGACTTTTTCAATGAGGTATGAAAATATCAATCTATATTATATATACATATAATTTAAGATATATATATTTATATATCTTATTTTATAGGGAATTTATGATATTCATACACAAATGGCTGGAATTCCTATATTACCATGGGAAGCTCCGCCATTATCAAATAATATTTACGCTAGTGAAATAATGAGTCATCCAATAGTAACACTAAAAACAGTAGAAAATGTAGGATATATAATAGAACTTTTGAAATGTGTAACATTTAATGGATTTCCCGTGGTTGATCCTCCTAATAGTGATGAAGTAATGAATCCTATTGTTATATATATTCAAAAGATATATTATTTTCTTATATTTGTGCTATTTTTTTTATTCTAGATTGAAATACATTCATATGGACGATTTCGAGGACTAATTTTACGCTCTCAATTAATAGTGTTATTGCAAAACAAAATTTTTAATAAAAACCTAGATTATTGGGACAGATCATTAAGTATTAAAATATTCAGAAAAGAATATCCCAGATATCCAACAATCGATCAAGTAACTGTAACTGAAGAAGAAAAAACTTATACGATAGATTTAAGGCCTTTCATGAATCCTTCTCCTTATACAGTACAGCATGTTAGTATTTTTTTATTAGTTTCTTCTTCACATATTATTAAATGAAAAAAAAATTTTTTTTTTTTAGTCTGCAACACTGCCACGAACATTTAGACTTTTTAGAGCTCTAGGTCTTCGACATTTACCAGTAGTCAATGATACAAATGAGGTATTAATAAATTGATGCATTTTTTTTTTAAATGTTATTACATAAAAAAAATATGATTTTAAATTTTTTTTTAGGTAATTGGGATTATTACAAGAAAGGATGTTGCCAGATTTAGAATATGGAAACATAGAGGAAATATGGGATTAGATGAACTTTTAATTACTGATAAAATTTAATTTTAATTTTTTTAGATACAAAATTTAATTTATGAAAAAAAAGCTTATAATGTATTATATATATAAATATTGTTTTCTTATATATGTAAGAAAAAAGATTTTTATATTTTTGAACAAAGAAGAGAGAAACAAAAAAAACAAAATCAATTATATATTAATTATTCACAAATAATTGCCAGCCTAACCATGACCATAATTTAAAAAATAAGAACACTGGCAGGATTATTAGCAATAAAAGAAAATAATACTCATATGATGGAATATACATTGGAAATAATATCTTTTTATTATACTTCTAGAGATTATAATTCACACGTTACAGAATAATTAAAGTCTTTTTATATAACCTGCAACAAGAAAAAATATTTTATAGAAATAAAGCATTTATTTATATTTATTTTTATTTTCTATTTTTATATTAATAATTTTTTTAAATAATTATAATCTAAAAATTATATAAAATTAATTCATATACCATAAAATATAAAAAAATAAAATATTTTAAATATATTTTTAAAGATAAAAAGAAAAATATTTAAAAAACAATTTATCTTTAATTTAATTAATCATACTTGTTTAGATTTTAAGATAAATATATGTATACATTTGCATTACATGCATTAATATATAAATGTATGTATACATTTTGATATAATTTCTCAATTCCATAAGCTATTCTTAATTTAATAATAATTATATTGTGCATATTAAAAAATTACCAAAGATTAATAAATATAAAAATTAATCAATTAATTGCAAGCTCCTATTTTGAGAGTGTTTCACCTTGAGATAATAATACACAAAACAGAATAATACTATCTCTTTCTAATCTTCAACAAATCTGAGCATCACAATTTTTTCGTAAAACTATATTAATAAAAAGATTAATCAAATCTTACGTACAATTATAGCTTTTCTTTTCTTCAATATTCATAATAATTAAAAATATTTAAAACTGTCAAATCAGTGAAAGAAATTGAAATGCAAATATTAATAATTAAGAGAATAATAAATAATTATAATTGAAATATATATAATTAAAAAAGTTTAATAATACTGTTTACGTCAGTTCGCCATTCCAATGATTGGATTCTAAATCATATATATTTTGCGCATGCGTGAACATCGATAACAAAGAAGAGGTAAATTTAAATAATTTTGAGAATTTTTTTAATATATATAATATAATCTAAATAATAAAAAATATTACAATTAAAAAAAGGTCATAACACAAAATGAACAATTATAAACAGAATAGAGGTAAGAAAACTTCGAAAATAAATAAACAAAATTTAATAAAAAAAAAGAGAAAAAAATATATAAATCTTTGATAAAACTAAGAGATAAAAAAAAAGTTATAAATCAGATTTCATGATGCAAAGAAATAGCAAGATTCAAAGCAAAAAAGAAAAAAGATTTAGAGAAAGTGAAGACACTTAACATAGAATTAAATAAAAAAAATATTACATTTAGATCTATTAATTCCATTGTCTCCTCATAATAAAAATTAAACAATTTCAAACACATATTCCTATATAAAATTCATCAATCATTACATACACAGTTTGTGAACAAAATAAATATTCTCAATTATTGTCAATTATTGAAGAATTAGCAAAAAATATTAAATTAATATATGCAGGTAGTAAAATTTTAGCAGAAAAACTAAAAATAAATATTATAAAAGAATGTTGATAAAAGAATACTTAATGGAAATATAAATGCTTAAAGGAATGAATTCACAATAGTAATTAGCATGAATATAGAATTTTTAACATAAATATAATTTATTTATTTGATTCTATTAAAATATATATTTTGTAAAATATTTTATTTTCTATAAAGAAATATAAATTATAAAAGGATATCATCTACTGCTTGAATAATTACATCAGTTGTAAATGTTCTGTTTATAGATTTTTCTTCCACTGACAAATGATAAAACATAAAAAGAATTAAATTCACTCCTGAATAGTATATAAGTGCTATAGAATATACAAACATTAATAACAAAAAAAATTCATTGATGTAGTAACAATAATTCTCCATATAAGTAATAAATGTAATTAATATGATAAGTATTATACGTACAAAAATAAAATTTAATGAAATAATTTCATGTTGTAAAAAAAAATCGCGTTATTTAAATAATTTACCTAAATTCATATATGAAACAATATGAAAACAATAAAATTTAAAAATATTACGAATTTTAGATATTAATTTTTTCATATGAATATCAATATTATGAATTATCATTGAATAATTTAAATTCTTTCACGAAAGTTTATTGAAAACGTATCTTCCTGACGAGCTCATTGTAAGTCTCACCTTCTCGTCTGAAAGAACCGAAGAAAGCTCGTCAAAATTTTCTCATTTCTTGAAGAAACCGGTCTTTCAATGTGTCAAGAAAAATTACCGTGAGTTGAATATTTTGCAGAAAACAATTATATTATTGATGAAAAAGAAGAATAATAACACCATCAACGGACACGATAAGAGGTCGAACATTCCAAGCATCTTTGTGATTCTCTGACAATGCCGTGTATTTTAAGACGCGGTCGGTTTGGTCAATTGTTTTGCGGTCTCTCAGGTCGTACACCTGTCCGTCGTGAAGTTGCAGACGGGAGTAGGAAGGGGTTATGGTCAATAAACGCAACCACGTCACACGCAGCCTATCGGCGACCCCGCTTGGCCCCTTAAAGTGGCTCCGAACGAAAATCTTACATGTCGGCCGATATTGCTTTTGTGCGTTTGTCTGCGGTATATCTTAAGAAAAATCGAAGTAATTTTTTCATGAACAATAACGACGGATGTGTTTTATCGCGAAGAAGATGCGATTATAAAATGGAATCAATCCACGACGCGGTTTAGCTTTACAACAGATTAATCGTGCGTTTCAGTGAACTGACCGAATTGCATTCGCCATTGTTGTGATTGGTGAACGTTCCAGAGAAGACGGCGTTCTTAGATTGACGCGCATGCGCATTACGTTCTACTTGACGACGCTCTTCTTTCGAATTTTGGGAGACACGCACACACAAAGCAACAAGGCACAGGTAGTCGACAGGACACGCACACTTACATATACGTATTTCGAAAACAGTATTAGCCATTCGATTTTTGCGCACGTGCTATGAAATTTTTTTAAGCTTGGTACCCGCGTCTTTTTAGACATCGAAAATTGAATTAATATTCATATTTATCGCTTTTTATAGTGAAGAAAATCGTCATGGTATTTCTTAAGAGATCGTCAAATTGATAGTCTTTTATTACTGATGCAAATAAATTTTTAAACGTTATTATTATTTATTTTAATTAAAATTTTCATTCGTTAAGTGCGACATTCTAAAATTTACTTATACTTAAACAACAAACGATAAAAATGTTTATTGTATTTTAAAATATGTAAATGAATTATTTTTAACTTTAAAGATTTTTAGTGAAAATCTTTAGTGAAAATTCTAACTAATTTTTTTATTGCAGGTAATTTCTAAAGTGAAGAAATGATAAAAAAGTACTTTATATATGAAATGATATGTGAGAAACATTAATAAGAAACCAAGAAAAAAAACAAAGTTACGCTTAATCATTAACGCATGCACAAAGTATATTTTCTGAGAAATTTGATATTTAAAATACATAAAAATGACAGTTTACATAGATGATTGTACCTATGCTGTGCGTAATTGCATGTTATGCCTAAGGCTAAAAAAAAATCTTACCTTAAAAAGGTAAGAGAAATGCGAGAATATAGAAGACAAAAATTGAAATCAGAAACATTAGAAGAGCGTACTATTAGATTATTTTCTGCTGCTGAAAGAATGAAGAACGCTAGGGCAAAAGAAACAGAAGAGCAGGCAGCAATAAGAAGAATGCAGGAAGCCCAACGTATGGCTAGACATCGTGCTAAAAAGAAGCGTTGTTTAGATGAAAATTTAGCAAGAGAAATTTCAAAAATTGCTGAATTGTCTAAAATGCCAGATGCAGCAACAATAGCTCAAATGTCAGAAATGAATATGAATAAAATTTCTGCAGAGTTGAAACAAATGATGGAAAGAGGAAAAGTACCAGAACATATAGTTCAAATGGCTCAACTGGCTGAATTTAGTAAGATGACTGAATTAAACAAAATGTCTCAAGATATGGCTAAAAGATATGAAATGGAAAAAATGGCAGAATATGCTAAAACAACAGAATATATGAAAATGCAAGAAATTGCAAAAATGTCTGAAATTGCCAAAATGAATGAAATGGTAAAACTCTCAGAAATGGCTAAATATAATGATATCACGAAAATTAATGAAATTGCAAAGATGAATGAAATGATGAAAATGTCTCAAATGGCAAAAATTAACGAAGTTCAAAGAATGAATGAAATAGCAAAACTTAATGAGATGGTAAAAATGACAGAAATGGCTAAATATAATAATGACATAACAAAATTAAATGAAATTGCACAGATTAATGAGATGGCTAAAGAAATTGCCAAAATAAATGAAAAAACGAAAATGAATGAAATGATTAAAATGGCAAATATGCAGAATGATATTACAAAAATGCCTGAATATTCAAAAATGGCAGAAATGGCAAAATTAACTGAATTGGCAAAATTAAATGAAATAACAATAACAAAATTAAATGATCCACCACCACCACCAAAAGTACCACCACCAGAAATTCCTCGAATCCCTGAACCTGTGATTACTGTGCCAAATCCAAGAAATTTACAAAATGTTCAAACTGTTCAAGTAGCACAGGCTAGCCCATCCAGTACAATAAATTTTCCCACTGTGCCTGGTCAAGGTAAATATGCTCAGTTACTGGTTATTATTGAGGAGCTTGGAAGAGACATTCGCCTTTCTTATGCCGGAAGTCGCAGTGCAGCTGAACGATTAAAAATGGGTATTCAACATGCAAGAATTCTTGTAAGGGAATGTCTATTGGAAACAGAACATAATGCACGGCAATGATCTGCCGATATACTTAGCAATTAGATTTTTAGTCGATTATTTTACAAAATAATACTATGTACATTGTATGAGGTATAGCAGTATATTTTAAAGGGAGTGTCTTAGCATCCACAAGAATGTGCATATGTAACATTTATTATTTCATATTTTATACGATCTTACTAGTTTGTATGTTTAATATAAAAAAGTGTGAGCAGCTAGTCCTTTTAGACAATGGAAAAAATGAGAAAGTAATAGCTGTAAAATTTAATAATAGTTTCAATAACTAATAAAATGACTTAAAATATGCACTTTTGTGGATGCCTAAAGAAAATTAATCAATCAATAGCGCATAATATTGAATATAAATTAAATCAGAGAAAAATGATTCATTTTTCATTTTAGTTTTTTATTTTTATTAAAAAAAATGTAAAGATGACCATTTTCCATAGAAACATTATGAAGGAATTGTACTTTCTTATTTTTAATTAACAATAGAAAATATAATACTAGGCAGAGATGAATTTGTACACTAAAAAGCCTTTATTTATATTTTCTATGGAAAATTAATTGTATTTTTTGGTTAAAACTATAGGTACCTAATAATTACTACAGTATACTTGCAGAAAAAGAAATTGATCAAACAAAATGTACCTATGGAAAATATAATCCTTGAATATTACTGACTACAAAGTATGACTAAATAAAAAAAAGAAACAGTTTTATACGATATTGTGTATTGATTTTATACCCTTAAATCAAATACGTATATTTGTATGTAGTTTTAAATTTGGCGCCAATATAATTTCTAACCTTCTTAGTTAACCGCTGTTTAAATTTCGAAAACGTGCATATTAGTATATGGATAAAACGTGTGAGAAATAAATGTTTAATAGTTTTAAGAATTTGTAGAATATTACGCTTAATTTTTATTTCTACTTATTTATTTATTGCATAAAATTTTGCTAGTATATTTATTAAGGTAAGTTTCCTAGATAAAGGTAATTATGTATTTATGTATTTAATTTGAGGTTATATCAGCGCTTTTCTTTAATGATCTTATTAGAATCTTTTCGCAAGGTATTCAACTTTAAAAATTATGGTTTTTTAATGAAGTTATTATGGTTTCTAATCGAAAATTTACATTCGAGATACAAGTATTGTATTGAAATAATTTGTAACAATCA